AAAAATAGTAAAGGGTGGAGTTTAAGAAATACAAATGACAAAAGATACATGTTTAAAGTTGCTGAGTGAGCGAGGTATATGTTTTAACTGATAAGTTGATACTATGGAAGCAAAGTTCCGAACATTGTTTGTTACTAATATTAAGAATATATATGGAAGGGAAACCTACTAGTTGGCCTAAACACATTCAAAGAGAGGAGTGATCGATTGAAGACTAAAACATAATTGGCTTCTGGCTTTTTTTCACTTGGAATTTTAACTTATTTCACTTTAAGGTGTTCTTTGTTTTGGTACACAATCGAGTATCGGAGAAGGGCCGGGGGGGGGTTTGGTTTGGTGTGTTAGACTCCGTCAGAGAAATAAAGAAATAATTCCTTGGCAAACCTGGTAAAGACGACTTTTAAAAGGCGTTGGGGAGTTTTGAAATAATTTTGTTCAACAATATTGTATTGTATTGAAAAGGACAATGTTCAGTGTTTAAAATGTACATACACTAAAGGGAGAGACCGGCTAGGTAACGTGGTTGAACCAAGAGTGTAGTATAAAAAAAATTAAAATCTATTTGAGACCAATGAGACTTTTTTACGCTCGCATAATTTGTGTTAAATGTTTCATCTGGATTATGAAAACAATTTTATAACGTTTCTTTTGCGAACCATTCCTTCTTGGGAAATTTTACAAACAAACTTACGCTTTTACATATAAATTATACACCGTAAACGTCTCGACGCTATCAAATGATTCCTAAAATGTGTCTTTATTTATAAGACAGCACTTTCGGTTCTACTAAGTTACCTAGCTGGACTCTTTCTTTAGATCAGTATAATTTTTGTCCACATTAAAGTCTTTTTTATTGTTTGAAATGATAGATGAATAGGTGGGTTATGGCAATTTCACAACAAATGTTGGTTGAAAATCCACAAAAACAAAACAGAATTATAATGATTTCCCCTTTATTCGGAAATTTAAAATATTTCAGACATGATACAAGTCATGTTTATTGTAGCTTGGCTAGCTGCTTCCTTTTCAGTTGCAACACCAAACCATCATATACCTCTAGTAGCAGCTCATTCTTTAGAAGCTTCCCATTCTTTAGAAGCTGCTCATTCTTTGAAAGCAGCTCATTCTTCAGTAGTAGCTCATACACATCAAGACAATTTACCAGAGTTGAACTCAAAACAAGTTTACAGGTATTCTCATTTTTTTAAAAAAAATTCGTGCATTTTCCTAGTTTTTATGATTTTCAGCGGAATGATGCAAATGGAATCCAAAGAAAGTATGGTGCAGGAAAAGGCTATTAGAAGACCACTTAATATAGCACATAGGTATTAGAATAGTAATGATAAACTGAGATATTTAAACAGATATGAGATTTTACTGACGTCATTGTTAACCCCCATTCAAAAATTGGCATTTCCGATTCTATATATGTACTCTTTAAAATCCTATTTGAGAAATAATGACTATAATATTTAATTGGTTTTCTATATGGACAGTGCTTAAGGGACTGTAAGCGTAATTTCAAGTGTCCCTCAGTGCAAAGAATGTAATTTCCGATACTCTTAATACCAAGGAGATATTGAATTATAGAAGGAGGGGGCGGTAGGGTTTCCGTAAACTTTGCTGTGACGTTTTTAGATTGCTGAAGAACTAGTTTTTGCGTAACAACAATAACAAAGGCTGCCGATCTAATGTATACAAACATGAGTTAGTAAACTGTGAAAGTAGTATTATCTTGTTAAAAAAGATTGAAAAAGTTAAGGGTTTTAGTTTTATAAGAAAAGGACCTTATTACAGCGACATTTTCATTCAAATTCAAGGTTATCCGCCCCCCCCCCCCCTTTATAAATACGCCAGAGATGCCAGATGTCTATTTATTATTTGTGTTATTGTTTACAATCTTTATTATTGTTGTTACGCAAAAACTAGTTCTTCAGCAGTCCAAAAACGTCACAGCAAAGTGTACGGAAACCATAGCTATCGCCTCCATCCTTCTATTCAATATATTCTTGCTCAATACCATACTATAAAAAATGAGGAAGAACCCGTCGTTTTTATGACTCAAAAAGCGTTTATTTATGTGATTTTCTTCGTTGCTTCTTATAAGCACGGAATACGCAAGACACTTAAGCAGAGAAACCGCAAAAGAAAATAAACAGTTGACAGTAAAAAAAAAAACATTTATATCTATTCATACTTGATTAGAAAAAGCTTTCAAGGTTGCCGCGGTAAATAGGGCATTGTCATCTTTGTTTGAAGGATCTCAATTGAAATTACTCTTACAGTCCCTTTAAAGTCTCACAGTTGCCTCTGCAGTATAAACCTGCACTTCATTCATACTGAAAACCTACAATTAAACTGTTTTTTTTCGAATTTCCACCCATTTACGATAATTGAATGAGATATACCAAAATGTTTTTTTTTCAACCCAAACCATTAAATAAACTTTATTTTCTTGCAAAGTTCTCAAGTTTCATGCCAACTTTGGTTTCCCTTTAAGCATACATAAAATTGGTTTTATTCCTGGTATTAAACCAATTCAGACTATAGTGTGTAGAGTATATATAAGGGGGTTGAAAAAAATATATGTTCGCTCAGGTTTACTGAATAGCTGTGGTAATTAATCCATGGTAGTTTCTAATAAAGCAGATGACAAGGATACAAGTTCTAATTCAAGTTTTGAAGAATTCGCAGCCCGGTAGTAAAAATTCAAAGACATTTTAAAGATATGACATTTTTTAGCTATGGAATGTTTTATATATGAAGTTTTATTGATTTGACGTTTCAAAGAAAAAAATCATTTTTCATGGATAAGATAAAATATATCCTTTTTTCAGAATATACGCAGTTAGTGTTACAATCTAAGAAATCTGATTTTCTATGTTTTTGTATTGACGTATCTATGAATTGTACATCTATGAAATGTCCATCTATGAAATGTCCATCAATGAAATGTCCATCTATGAAATGTCTATGTATGATTGAAATGTCCATCTATTGAATGTCAATCTATGGGCATTTAGGAAAAGTCGGAAAATGTCAACAGCCTCAGACCAATACTTTTTGAATTATGAAAAAGAACTTCAGAGGGTGTCAAATTGACCCCACCCCACCCACTCAGCAGGAATAGGGTTAAACAGCATGGATACAGACTCAGACTCAACCAACAGCTTCTCTTTGTTCACTTGTAGAACTTGAAATTTGAACATTTATTATTGTTCAGTTGTGGGGAAATATGAATTCATGTTTCAGTCGATTTTAACAGGATGCAAGTTGTATCGTTTGTTTTCAGAGTCCGACTAAGGACAAATTATATGGATTTTAACAGGATGCAAGTTGTATCGTTTGTTTTCAGAGTCCGACTAAGGACAAATTATATGGATTACGTATTTTATGACATCTTATATAGACAACATACTAAAAAGTTTTGACATAATTAAAATAATCTTTTTTCAATTTGTTTTCAGAGGTTTCTCTGGTAGATATCCTGCTCATTCTATGCAGGGATACATTCAAGGTATTCAGGGGACTGTAAGGTTAATGTTAAGTGTCCATCCATGCACAAATGAAAATGCTCGATTCACAACAGTACCCTTAAAAACTGTATTTGATCAATTAAGAATTAGATATTATGTTTATAGTTTGGAAATCTGATTACTTAACGTTGTGGTTTCTCTACAAAAGGGACAAAATTGTTCATTTTATTATCAGAATTAAACACTTTTATGCCTAAAAAATCACAATATTGATCACTCAGATCAAGGTTATAATTCAAGGAAATTTATTTCAGAGGTGTACGCATCTTTTGTATTGCAGTGTACTGTCTTTGGGCGGTAATGTAAGCACAAGACGGATGTCGTAGCCTGACATGGGATCCATCTTTCACATAAAAAATCAATGAAATATTCCTGCCATAGGAAACTATTATGTAAATTTTCAAAATGTAATGCTTTTAACCTTCTCGGATACTAAACGAACACTGATGCATCTATTCTTGTTTACAAATATGTACGAGAAACTGCAATTAACTTTCCTTGCATTATAACCTTGGATGTAATATAGTAACGTTAAAACACAACGGATTAGATTTAAATGACTACTCGGAACTCTTAAAATTGAACTACAGGGTGTCCCACGAGAAATGACAGTTGGTGAATAGTTTTGATCTGGTTTCAATATGTACGCAGAGTAAAGGCAACTGCAATTAACTTTCCTTGCCTTAGTACCTTGTCTCAGATAAAGTATTCAAGAGTTCTGTTATTATTATCGGGAATTGCCATCTTTGCATGAAGGAGCGCTTGAAATTACGCTTACAGTTCCTTTAATATAATTTTTTTTTCATAAAATTGTCACAGTATTTGTGCATTAAGACTCATGTAATTGTCACAATATATAGTAAGACCCATAAATTTGTCACAATATGTGTACAGTAAGACCCATAAAATTGTCACAATATATGTGCAGTAAGATCCATAAAATTGTCACAATATATGTACAGTAAGACCCATAAAATTGTCACAATATTTGTACAGTAAGACCCATAAAATTGTCACAATATATTTACAGTAAGACCCATAAAATTGGCACAATTTATATTTATATTTATAACGATGTTTATGGGTACTTTCCCAAATGCTTTTTTTCCAAGCGGCAACGCGGCAACTCCCAAAGGGTCTTTACCCTTAGTTGAAACTTCCCAACGTGCAATTTCCAAAAATGCCTTTGGGAAAACCTCTAATAACTTTTGAACAACATCAAATACACATTAGATTCATTAGATTGCTTAAATGTCGTCTTCTGTTACAGTGTTACAGTCGGAACCAGAAAATTCTGAAATTGAGAGAAGGCTTTAGAATCAAGTTTTAACTTTAAAAAGTTTAATGAGCTTGAAACACTGCAGTTGTGAAGTTAAACAAACCCATTTCACTGAATTAGTGATTTAACAAGTGTATCTAGTCAAACTTTTAGCTGTGTTAAACATCGAATACACCTACGTAATACTATACTATCGTCTTCCAATTCCATTGTTTTCTGATTGTTACTGTATTTATTTAGGGGCTAGAGCTGGAGCTGATTATATTGAGTGTGATATACAATTCACAAGAGATAAAGGGACAGTGCATTATATTTGATTTGAATTTTAATATATTTCAGTCAATTATTAAAAAAAACATACACACATTTGAACTCCAAGCACTAAAGCTAATTCACATTGGTCTCCAATTGCACCAATAAATCGCGCATTTGAAATCCTTTGCACCAAAATTAACGTGCAATTGATCTTCCTATGCACCAAAGTTGACTCACATTCGATTTCACAATGCACCAAAGATAATCATTTTTGCTCTCACTATAATGCAACAAAGTTAATCGCATTTGATCTCCCTTTGCACCAAAGTTAACGTGCATTTGATCTTCCTAAGCACCAAAGCTAACACACATTTTAACTCCCTATGCACAAAGGTTGACACTCTTTTGTCTATGCACCAAACCTAACGCACTTTGGATCTACGTATGCACCCAAGTTAATCGCATTTGACCTCCATCTTCACACCAAAGCTTACACCCATTTGATCTCCCCATGCAATAAAGGAAAGCACATTTGATCTCCCCTGCAATAAAGGAAAGCACATTTGATCTCCCCATGCAATAAAGGAAAGCACATTTGATCTCCCTATGCAATAAAGGAAAGCATATTTGATCTCCACCCATGCAATAAAGGAAAGCACATTTGTTCTCCCTATGCAATAAAGGAAAGCACATTTGATCTCCCAATGCAATAAAGGAAAGCACATTTGATCACATTTGCACAGAAATTAATGTGCCAATGATCTTTCTATGCACCAATGAAACATTAATATGATATTTACATGCAGCAAAGTGTAATGCAATTGTTTCTAGTTCCTGTTTGTTTACATAACTACTGGCTGAGGTATAATTATTTAAAATAAAAATAAACGTATGCAATGGGGGGGCCATAATTCAATGAGGATCATGTAAGTCGTCGTCGTTTAGATNGCCAAGCTGTTAAACAGCATGGATACACATAGAAATTAAAATAAAGAGAAGCTGTCAAAATATATTCTTTTAATGTTTACTTTTAAACTTTTAGTTTGAAAAAACCTTGTTGGAAATCAAAACCTTAATAAAAAAGTCGTCTTCATTGTATTGATAAAAACGTCGAACACTGTATTTGAAACTGTTTACCATAAAAAATATATGCTCTTGAATGAAGGCTCAGTAAAGTATTTATAAAGGCTCAGTAAAGTGGATTAATTTATTTTTTAATAATCAACTTTTAGAATTTTCTATGAAAAGTGTCGAAAATATATCTTCAGAAAATTCCTTTCTTTTATAATACCCGAATTCTCTGTATTTTGCTATACAGTGAAGAGTTACACAAATGCACAGAAATGAAAAAATAAAAATTAGAAAATAAAATCTTTATTAATTTTGTTTCTAGTGGAGTGACCGATGTTGCAGAAAATCCAGGTATTTTTTACATTTTTTGATATAAACTGATTCATTCCCTACATTAGGTTTTTTTCTTAACGCAATTTTCAAGGCAACTGAACCTAAATTACATTTATTAGACTTTAGGATTACAAATCTTTCATTCGATTGTTAATGATAACGAAAAGGTTAACGTTTTTTTCTTTTTTGAAAATTAAGCTACAGGCTAAAATTTATGCGTTTGAAAGCCCTTAAATGTAACGTTGGCACAGTTTAATATCAATTTCTCGGGATTGGAATATTAGAAAGAACTTTTATATGTCTGGATTAATTCCTAAAGTGCTTAGGTTTCAGCCTATACCCTCTTTCATTTTTCCTTAACAGTCCCTTTAAGTAAACAAAAAAAACTAAAATCTAACGAAGAATTACGAACAGATTGAAGAAAACAAAATATTTACAGGAAATTTAAAAGAATCTCGAGTTTATTTCCCAAAAAAGTAGTTCTGCTGTATTGCGCGATTTTTCCAAGTAAACTATACGACAAATGAAGATCATGGGACGATTTACAACAGAACTATAAAAACTTTGTGTGATCAAATTTGAACAAAGAATCAATGTTTATATTTTTAAAAACGGATGTTTTTCCACTGCAGTTACTATGCAAAACCGTGCATTTCTACTGCAGAAAAACGAATGGAATTATAAGAAATAAACACTTTTTAAATCTAGAAAAACTACAATATCTTCCACATGACTGATCAGATAAAGGTTTCAAGGGTTCCTTTGTAAATCTTAAGATTACACATATAATATTTCATATTTCATATTTCATAGATTTAGCTGCTCACAAGCGTCCTCTTCTAAACATGTCTGGTGAGGGAATTCATGAGGATTGGGCAATCTGGGATCTTACTCTAGCAGAGGTAAATTTAGTTTAATCTGGGATCTTACTCTAGTTGAGGTAAATTTAGTTTAATCTGGGATCTTACTCTAGCAGAGGTAAATTTAGTTTAATCTGGGATTTTACTCTAGTTGAGGTAAATTTAGTTTAATCTGTGATCTTAATCTGGCTGACGTGTTGAGGTTTAATGGACCGAAGAAATTACAAATTTTCGATTTTCTGCCGATTTTTCTATCTTTTTAAAAACCAAGTTTGGTTCATTCTTTTTTATTTTAGGCTAAAACATTAAGATTGAGGCAGGAATATGAGGGGAGGTCAAAGGAATTCGATGGGTAAGTATCAGAACCATGTGGCACATAACCGACCCCTCCCCTCCCCCTCGCCAAAGAAAAAGGCTTGAAAGTGAAGATATAGGGTTGCAATTCATATTCATGGCCCAATTTTTCAAGGCCAGCTCATTGATAAAATAGACCGCTAACTTCAATCATTCGGGTAATAGGGATATTAAAAAATTTAAAAACAATCTCGAAAAAAAAATTTTAAACTAGAATTTTTTAATTTTGACAAATATTTCGACATTTAACAAAAATGTATCGGCTATCTGAAAATGGTTGTATATATATTGTTGTAATTTATAATTATCCATTTTAAATTTACTATTTATAAATAACTTGGTTTGACTTGATTTAAAAATTACTATGCCTTAAAAGTTGAAATATTTCAAGGTGATAATTTGTCAAAATGAGAATGCTAGACTGTGAGCAAACAACTATTTAGAGTTTATCCAGAAAAGCAGTTTTTCTTTATTTTTGAGTTCTGAGCTCCCCCGCTCCCCCAGGGAGTATGATATAGAAGGGAGATACAACTGACGCGGCCCGCCCTACCATATGATTATACGGCTTTGCAGACGGTATTCCATTTGAATTAGAAATATTTATCTGTTGTACCCATTGGTACTGGAATAGGGTAAGGTAGTCATACAATTCTAGTGATTCTAGCTTCTGTACCTTGCCTACGTCATAACCCGGTACAGGGCACTCGAGGATAGAACACTGGGTCCAGAACTGTCTTGGGACAAGATCTGTTGTAGGCGAGTATACGCATAATTGTGATTGGCATTGCATTCTCCACCAATAGTTTTAATCAGTGACGTCGGACACGTACAGATCTTCCCCGCACCGTATCGACCTTTCATTCGTGCGCGAGCCTGGTTGCGATACCCTATTCCAGTAGCCATGCATGATGTACCGCGAATACGATAATCTATTCTGAATATTTCTAATTCAAATGGAGTACCCGTCTGCAAAGCATGAATAATCATATGGTAGGGCGGGCCGCGTCAGTTGAATCTCCCTATAAGTTCATTTTATACTCCTTGCCTCCCCCCACTCCCGAACCCTATGGTAAAATGTTAAAAGGCACGAACCTGACAATATATATTCAAAGTTGAAAAAAAAATATTTTTATCAGGATGTTTACTATTCCAACTTTTGATGAATTTGTGCAAGCAGGTAAAAAAAACCTTAAAGGGACTGTAGGCATGATTTTATGTAAAACATAAAGGAACTTTATCAAGGCATCAGGTTGAAACGTTCAACCTGATCCCATTCCCCAGACTAGCTTGCATTAAATTTTGGTGCAGATCCTAGAATTTTGAAAATCTGAACATTTTTGTATTCAGGCATTCTTTCTAACAAAACATCAAAGGGATAATTAAAAATGATTCTCCATTTAAAGAGTTAAATGCCATATTGGATTAAGGTTTGGAAATAACCGTAGTGTTCAAGGCTTAAAAGTGATCATGTTCGAACTCTTCTCAGTCTGTTTGCTAGAGGGTAAAAGAACTAATTAGACAATAGTTTTAAACTAAGAACTGAATTTTCTGTTCAGTTAATGGATTTCCGTAGATTAATGAAGTTTCATTTTTATTGGATTTCGGTTTTGTTAACGGTGTTAACAGTAACTGCGTTTTTTTTAGTTTTTTATCAGAATATGGACCAAAACTTTAACTAGAGATGGACACATTCGCTTTTTTAAATCGCTCGTTCATTGTTTGTTAACACCTCATTTCTTTCGTTTTTTAGTGGCTCAAAAAAAATTATTTGTTAGTTTTCAAAATTACTGTTCATTATCCATTGAACGTTTGTTCAATTCAATCGTTTGTTCAGTAAAAAACATTCCTTTTTCAAGTTCGTTTGGAAAGATGAACAATGTGCATTGTATATAGTAAGGACAATAAATTCTGTAAAATTCTTTTATTATATACAATACAGATAAAAACTAAAAAAGATAGTTTACCTGAAAATCAGAAAAAAATATGCATGAACTGTTTAATTATTATTAGCTCGAGAGTATGGTATAGGTATATACCCGGAGCTTAAGCACCCAAGCCTATACAACAAGGCCTGGAAAATCTACAACTCAACAAAGGATAGTATTTTTATATACCGAAATTAAATCCTATTATCGAATAAATTCAACAAAACTAATATATATCTTAATGCTATACAAAACAGAAAAAAAGAAAGAGATTGAAGTCTAAATTTTCTAAAATGTTATAAACATGAAATTTCTTAAGTTTATAAAATATTGTTTTACACTATTCTTTACAAATACTCAAAATAGACAAAACAATTTTTTTCTAAATTTGTAGCTCTTAAAAAGCATTAAAATATCGTCTTAGATTTTAATAGAGGAAGTTAGATACAGGGTTTTTCACAAAGGATGAGACTTCTAAGATCTAGGGTTGAATTTATTCAAGTCCTTTTTCAACATTAACGTTTATGTGCAGTTAAAAAATTATTTTATGATGTAGGTTAGAATTAAAAGAATATGAAATAAATGACATAATTTAACCTTCTAATCTTCATATTTGACAGTAGCAAGACGACTTAAAGGTCGTCTTTTGTCTTTGAAATTATTTGCAACATTTATTTGTAAACCTAATTTTAGTTATAGAATTATAACATTAATATTCATTAAATGTCCCTATAGTCTCATGGCATTTCTAAAATGTGGTCTGCACCAACTTATACTTTCAATCTTACCGGAGATATGAAGAATTTCGACAATTTGGGTTTTTATTAAATAAAATGGAAATGTGAACGATAATTTTTATTATCTCCGGTAAACAAATAGGCAGACCAAATCTTAGAAATGCCATGGGACTAGGAGAATTACGTGTTTAATGTTTCAAGAATCATATCCATGTTGAAATATATTGACAACTGAATGTCACCAATAAATTCATTGTATTATATTG